CATTGAAACACGTCCGTGAACTCAGTGCCGAGACCAAAATGCACTGCTTCACATCCACGGTTCACGGTTTGTGCTTAGAGTTGACGGTCTTAGCGACCGTGAACTCACTCAGCGTCAGTAACCTCCGGATTCACCCTGGACGCTTCGCGGTTCACGGATTTTGGCTCGAGTTCACGGTCCTGTAAGACTGTGAACTCCAATGGCAGACCTTGAAGACATGTTGTTTCCTACTCTTTTCCCCTTTTCTTCCAACTTTCGACTCCGGGGATGGTTTCACCTGTTAGATCCTAAAACACGCTAAAACACAAGAAACCTAGCGCAAAACCACCCTTTTTGGAGCACAAACACCCAAGGAAATCAGGGATAAAATGCGTACAATTAGGCCCGAATCAACCTCTTTGAAGTTGAGGTTCTCATCGTTGGGCTGGTTTCATGAACCTCCTTCACGAGACCTCTTTTTCTTGCTACCTTCGTTCTTTTCTTTGCCCCATACAATGTAATGTAACCTTTATTGACCACAATTGAATCCACCAAGAGGGATTGATGATGGTGTGGCCTCGGCTTGGAAAAGAGAATCACAAAAGGGTCCTTCTCTAAGAGTGCATCAAGGTCGCGTGGGATCACCTATATTGGGAGGTGTCCCTTCTGTCTCCACCTCTTTAAGCCACCTTTCCTCTCGATTAAAGTCTTTGATGCGAAAGCACCCCAGAGGAATGATGGGATCACTTACATCTATGCACTTCATTGGGATGTTGAAGCGCTCAGATGCTAGCTCTATAACGCTCTTGGGCTTTGGTGGAGTTTGAAGTGCGCTCTCACTCCCGGCAATAAATTCTTCAAATTCGAGCTCCAAGAGGCTCTTTGATTCCGAAATTGGAGTAGGGTGAGTCGCTTCGATGCCCTCCACTTTCTTTATACCATCTTCAAATCGCTCAAAGGCCATCTCCAACTTGGTCTTCACCCTAGGTTGTGGAGGTAGTTCTTGATATGATGCTGGTGGAGCTCGATAATCATGGTGGTACGGTTGGTGAGCATAGAGAGGTGATTGCTCTTGAAACCGGGATCCTTGTCTTTCATCTCTCCTTGAAGTCTCGGGGTACACCATTTGGCGGATGGTTGATGCCCCCACACTCGATTAAAGTCGTACCATATTTCAACTACTACGAACACAAAAACACTATAAAAAAGATCAAACACACAACACATCCTTCAGGTAGAAGAGTGGGTAAACAAAACACAAATGAAACAACAAAACAAAAAGTACTAAAGTTGGTCTTACCTGCAACTATTGCCCTCCGGTCATATGGGATAAGTTGTCCTATTTGATGCCCATCTAGAACAGTGATTTTTAAGATGCCCCTGTACCATTCAGTTATGGTCTCTCATGGGTTTATGTGATTGCCTTGTTTCTGTCTCGACCATCAACTTTACTCTTTGGTGGTGTAGCGTTATGCTCTCTAAGCACTCTGAATCCCTCACATCTCTCATGTGTCTGCTTGTTGTTGAGAATATAAAAATATACATATAAAGTGGTTTCGAGTATACTTAACCACATGTGCGTTCTCTTGCTTTTTAGTTTTTTCTTAAGTCTAAGATTTCATTGCTCCCTCTCCCCTAATTGGTTCCTTCCTCTCTCATGCCTCCATCTTCCCCAACTCTGTATTACTCCCCTAAAGGCTTCTTGAAAATCATCTTTGATGTTGTCATTGTCCAGGAACGTAGTTGTTCGTCTAACCTAGTGGTGTGTGATCTAGATTGCATGTCTTATTGTCGGTTGGGGCTCTTCGTCCTAATGTTAATGATCCCTCTCTTACGGGTTAATGGTTGTTGGAGACACACTACAAATTACTCTTCTCGACGAGTTCCTCGTGTGATCCTTGAAGGAGATTATGAGGTGGTGATACGTCTACTTTGTCAAGATGTCGTGGAGGATTCACTTGAAGAGCCCTTCCCTTAAAATTGTCGTCAAATAGTCTTTTATCTTTTTGCTAGTATAGTTTTTATCACGGTTTCTTGAGCTGCAAACTGGACTGTCAATAAAGTAGCATATGAAGCCATGTTGTTGCCTCTGGAGTTACCACCCTTTGTTTTCTCATGGCGACTTCACTAGTGTGTTATTTTGGGAGGGTTTCTGGGCTGAGGTCATTTTCTTCCCTATTGTTTTCTATTGTTATATCTTAGAGAAAAAGAAACCGAAGAAAAATGACTGACATGTGTTTCTATTATTAGAGGAATTTTACGATGCTATATAGTATTGGTGCTATAGGTTTTTACCTTTATGGTACAGCTTGAAATTGTACCTTTAATGTTATGGTACAACTTCAGATTGTACCTATACTTTTTGAACAAATTCTTTTATGGTACAACTTAAACTTGTACCTTATGTGATGGTACAACTTCAAGTTGTAAAGTTGTACCATAACATAATGATACAAATTTCTTTATGGTACAACCTAAACTTGTACATTTAATGTTATGGTACAACTTCAAGTTGTACATTAAAGCACCAATACTATATAGCGTAGTAGAATTGCTCATATTATTATTATTAGTTGTAGGAGTTGACCACAGATAAGGGTATAACAACATTAGTTTATTTTATTTTTTTGGTTGAAAAAGTTATAGTATTAATTTACTCACTAATATTTTCTATACTTCCTATAAATATAACTCATTTTATTTCATCAAATTTACTAATATAAAAATGTACTCAGATATTTGATCAGAATTAAGTAAAGATTACTAAGAAAAGTATTCAAACTCATAATGTCTTCCAAAACCTTTAAAATCCTCTCTCTTCCCTAAGACTAACTCCAACTCAAAAAGCTATATTTAGCCTCCCAAGCTCTCAAATGTGCATATTTGCCTCCCAAAAACACTTTTTTGCTCCAACCCTATAGGCTTCCAAATTTAGCTTCCCACATCTTTTTTTGATTTAATTTCCATAATCCATACTTATTTACAATATCATTCTTGTAATTCACTTTAATTTTTTTTATAGTTTGTTATTACTTGTGAAAACAAAATTTTCGATGTAATTTTTTTTAATTCCGAGATAATTTTTTTTGGTTGCAAAATTAGTCATTTTTTGTAGCTGTTACTTTATGACCATTTTTTTGGACCAATCCAAATATGACCTTTTTTTAGCCGTTACTTTATGACCGTTTTTTTGTCGTTTTGTGCATCATATGTGTTTATAAATTACAATTCTTCATTTTTCATCAACTCACTGAAACTTCTTCCCATTTCTAAAACAAACACATTCATCATGAGTATGTCAGATAGCTCATCGTCGGGAGGAGAAGAAGAAATCGAAGAGTACGAGAGGTTTCACCACCTACGGTTGAGTTTAATCGGCCGGAGGCTAGCTGAAGGTTCATCAAGTCGACGTCACATTGATCGTGAAGGGTCGAATGTAATCGCCGTCTTATGAGGGATCATCTTGATCAAACCCATAGACGTCATTTTGTTTACTCCTCCAAAATTTCTTCTTTCTTGGTGTCATCTTTGACAAATCCTTCTCCAGAATATTCATATTTTGTTGAAGTATTGCGGCCTCCCTCTCCTTCTTCTCAAGGGCCCATTGTTCCGCTTCCTGCTCCCTCACTTGCCTCTTGTATGCCCATTCCTCGGCTTCCCTCTCTAGTCTCCTCTCTTGAAGATTAATTTTTCTATTTTCGTACTCCATCCTCGACTTTTGCCTCTCTCTCATATCATTACCAAACTCTAGCAGTTGAGTAGTGTACATGTCTGACGATTCTGCAACTACCTTACCTTTCTTTTTTGCTGCCTTTTGTTTGTCGCGTCCTTCAGGGCGAGACAGCACGAAAGGCGTAGCTCCCTCGTCCTGGTATGTCGTCGAGGCCTTCCACAGGGGAGGATTGAGAACCAATACCTATGGGAGAACTTTGAGAACCTTGACCCATAGGTGGAATTGGACCGACAACCAATTAAGGGTCACAATACCACTTTGGGCAATTTCGAAGGATGACCCAACAATGCTCATGTGTCAAAGGCTTTGTCCCCATTCTCTTCCTTATATATCTGTCTTGCTACAAATTCCTATCAAAATTATTAATACACAAGTTAGATAAGTAAATATACATAAAAATAAGAAATACAAAAGTTAAAGTTTCCAAAACAATACCACATCAACTTGGTTGGTACCGCTCATTTGACTCCTCTCCGCCCTCTGCAAAGCTCCCTTCCAAACTTTACACTTGTTACTGATAAGTCTCAGTCGGGATTCCATTGAATCCGTAGTACGAATTGTTGTAGGATCGCTTCTTCGAAATTCCCTCTCCACCATTTCCCATAATCTAGTGCTCTTTGATTGATGCCAACCGCTCCATCTTCAGATATTGATATCCAAGATTTGCACAAGTTTACATCTTCATGAGCTTTCCAATTGGATCCTCTCTTACTTGACATGTTTTTGTTTTGAGAGATGATAAATAGATGAGAATGAGAGATTGATTTGAGAATGAGTGCATAAAAACAATGAGAAGTTACTCATTATATAGAAAAAAAATATGACCGTTTTATGGCCGTTAAATGTGTCTGTTGCAATGTGACCGTTTTATTGTCACTATATTACTTCTTTCAAACTAAAACGCGAACGCACCCACACAAATTAACCACTCAAACAAATTGAAAAGAAAAGGCAGCAGCAGTGGGGACCCCGCGTGCAGGTGAAGACCACCCGCGGAGGCGCGCCTGGGCCGCACGCGCGGGGGAGGAAGAGATGAAAAAATGCAAAAAGTTCACTTTCTCCAAATTTGCAAGCAAGGGTTGGGGGAGGAAGAGATGAAAAAATGCAAAAAGTTCACTTTCTCCAAATTTGCAAGCAAGGGTTGGAGTTAGTCTAAGGCCGCCAATATGTTGTTTCCAATTCTGCCCCAATTTCATCCATCTAAGCCCTAGTCTCCAATTTCTAAATCGCCGATTGTCCTCTCAATTCATCTCCAAATATCTGTTTCTCTTACCCTACCATATGGGGACCACAACCATCGATTTTACTCGGAAGTCGACACCATGCAAGACTGCCTTTCAGCCAAACAGATACCAAAAGTAGCATGAACCTTCACATTTAGATATCTACATGAGTATTAGCATAGTTCCCAAACACCCAGCTGGCATTGACTGTTATGAACGGAAACCCAACTACTCTCTGCGAAAACTTCGCAACTAGTTTAGAGCACGTCAAAAACTGGGAAGCAACACTTGTGCACCAAAAGAATGCCGCCATTCTGAACAGCCATGCCCACAAAGCATTGTACGAGAAGTTGAATTCTGAACTATATCAGTTTTCAAGTAGAAATCTTGCAGCTTCGTGCCGGTGTCTAATGAGGTCACTGATACCAGTACTGTCCTGAGATTTCATCAATGCATTGATAGAGTTAAGGATGGCAGCTAACACTGCATGAGTTGACCGTTCACTCTCCTTCCTCTCTACGCATCCCTTTTTCCGCTGTTTATTGTATAGAGCCTCCATTTCACTCGACTTGGCAGCAGCTTTCTGAAGCACATGCTCAGGCAGGCCAGCCAGTCTTGCAACATTGACTCCATAGCTCTTAGGGCATGCCCCGGGTGTCAACCTATAGAGGAAAGTTACTTCTTCCACTCCTTCACTTCCAACACCAACTTTGCATGCCATATGGCATAATGAAACCTGCACTCACAAATCAAAAGAAACTTGAGGCCCCATATAGAGTGCCATACTTTAGGATAAGATGTGCAACTTTCAAGGGTCGTTTAGTGCTCACCTTGGAATCCTTCTCATAGTCTACAGCTAGCCTGTGATAGTGAGTAGAGAACATTCCTCGACACTGTACCTTGTTGACGAAGTGTTCAAGAACAGCTTCACTGCAAAGATCCATGGAGGCCACGTGATTTTGACCATCATGTTGTAAATTTAAAGGGCAGGACATCGTCTGGACAAAAAATAATAAACCAAGTAACTAAATAAGAAGATAACATAAAATACTTACGCTATTGCTTGTCCATCTGAAGTTGATGTGCCACGTCCAAGTTCATCTAACGCCACCAATGAATAACGGGTTGCTGACGACTATTGTTTAACACAAGCAAGCAACAAAAAAATGGTGATGCTTAACCCAAGGAAAAAGATAATTACAGCCCATGTTATGAGCTATCATAATCACGAGGCCATTCTACCAAAACGCATAGGCTAAATCTACTGGACTAGAGGGGATCCACTTATATAAAAAAAAAACAAATAAATAAAATCACCTCAAATTTGACTCTATCACCCAATTGAATAGCACAATGAGGATCTCAATTTCCTCACAAAAAAAAAAAGTGCAGTGGTGCTGCTGATGCCTTACCAACATTAATGCAGTTTCTGAAAGCTCAGTCAAAAATGTACTTTGACCAGCCATAATGCGATCTTTTGCACCCATACGGACAAAGATCCGGTCAACAGGTGACAACTCGAAGCTCTCAGCAGGTACATCAGCCCCTATCTGTAAGTGGTGAAAAAGGAAATACAATGAGCTAAGAACTCCACAAAATGCCGAAGTATTAACACCCAACTTGCAAACAAAGTGGCCTTACCTGGGCCAGAATTGTAGCCAAACAAACTTGACGAAGAAGAGTGGACTTTCCACCCATATTAGGACCAGTGAGAAGGATAAACTGTGCATGATCAGAACCACCAATGCTAATATTGTTGGAAACAAAAGATCCCTTGCCTAAGGAATCGCTTCTCAGGATAGGGTGCCCTAAACCTTTTGCAGAAAGAAGGGGGACTTCACTAGCTGATGTTGAACCCAAGATGACTGGGCGACAAGTCGGACCCTCGTAGAAGTCACGAGCAATAGCAAGACTGATCAAAACATCAAGTTCTGAAATAGCATTCAGGATAGTTAGTTTACTTGGCACAAATAAATGAAAAGACAGCAAACATTAACCATCATACGGATGAACCCTAAATAATATTAACAGCAGTTGCATATAACATTGTTAAGCTTCAGACTGTCATCATATACACCAGTGTCTAAGTGTGTTTGTATGCATTTGCATGCTTTCAAGGCCTGCTAATCAGAAGCATTCTGAGCTCAACTTAGCGTGATTGATCAAAAGGAAAGAAAGAGATGGACTACAAACCTGCAATTGTGGAAACTAGTTGTCTCCATTTAGTGTGATGTTCACAAAATTGACCAATTAACCTCTGCAAAATGCTTCTCAGCTTTGACTCCTTCTCAGACTGAGTTTGGGACAAATCCACTAAAAGCTTCTTAATATTTGGCGTCCAGTATCTGTAAAAACCCTGCAGTAGAAGAATAGTTAACACGTGTGATATGAAAATGAACTTCAGTAAAAGTCATCGTTTCAAATTAAACAGGGAGTTAACATGGTAGCATCTATTATGTTGCAGTTGCAGATACCTTTTTCGATGACCGCAACTCATACGCTTGAGGAATACTTCCACGCAGATGTTCGGGAACTTCCAATAAATAAGCTTCTTTGCCTACTGTGACATATTTTATCTACAACGTCATGAGGAAGTGGCCAGTTAGTGCAGATTAATAGCCCTTAGTAAAAGAGGCGGGCAAAAACCGTTTGAATTTCACAAATGTAGGGAAGGCATATGCTAAGGTTCTTACAGATGCATCTCCAAGGACCTTCCGTTGTTCCTTTAGTTCTTTCTTTAAACTGGATTCTATATCTTTGACTTTCTTACAAGCACAGTCATAGTTCATATCAGCTCCTTCATGGGGTATTATACGACCACTGTTGTTGGCTTCCACCCAGTCGAAAGCATTCTTAAAATGCTGAAGAATTGAACTGATATCAGGAAGACCTTCACCTGCAAGAAAGTTGAAAAATGAACCAGGATAATCCCTATGATTATAAGAAATATGGTTGGTTAAACCCAAGAGTACAAACCATTTGTTAGCAAATAACGTAGTTTTTCTGACTCCACAGTTTGCAGAATGACATTAAGAGAAGAACATGCTTTAGCCATTAAGTCACAGCCCCGTAGGGCAGATATGAATTCTTGAAGCTGCTTCTTCGCAGCATCCTCATAGAGAACTACCTTGTTGGCATTCCTTCCATTAGCTTCACTGTATCCAATAAATGTCATTAGTAAGTACAATAAATGGATTCATTATGTCATACGACTATTTCAAACAACAGATCCCAGCAGCATCTGGGAACTCTTAACTGGTGATCTATGGACTGAGGCATTTACCTGCAGGAAAACATGCGTGTAAGCAATCGCTCCATGTCTGGCAACCTAGACAACATATTTCGGAATTCAAGTGCCATAGTTTGATTAGTCCCCTGCAACAAGCCATATGGTCAGAACCTTATAGTATCATGACATGCAAAGATACAATAGAACTAGGAGCAGGACACACAAAACTGAAAGACTCGTGATGAGTAGCATTTAACACGGAACGTTAAATAAATTAAGTTTGATAGCTATAAAAATAAATGGTTTGTTAATCTTTACTACACCCACAGAAACAACTGTGTAACCTAAAATTTGTAATATCCGTACACAAGACCAGGTCACCCCATAATTTAAATCTCCTGTTAAGGTGTATGTTTCAGGGAAATACCTGTAGAGCTGCTACAGCATCCTGCCGGTCCTTGATGGATTTAACATGAAACAAAGGTCTTGCAAGCCATGATTTCAGTAACCTCTTTCCAGATGCTGTCACACAATGATTTATTTGTGCATATAGAGTCCTTCAAAGACACAGATATAGCATGAGAGTAGGACCAGGACCTAAAGTCCAATTCCCGTGAATAAAGAACACCATAAACTTACCCAGATGAGTCTCCAGTTCCGCTGTTCTCGAAAATGTCAAGGTTTTCAAGGGCAGAGGCATTAAGAATCATGTATGGTCTTTTAGCAAGATCACTGAACTCCGAACATGGAAGTGATTCAAACTTTGCAAATCTGAGCAACGTCTCATGCAGAAATGCCTGTTTCAGATAATAGAGAGTAGCTCCAAAAGCAGAGACTGCTAGGCTTCCATCTTCACCTTTATTCACTAGGTGTGACAAAATGTCTGGCAGGAAGGACAAATCCTCTTGCTCAATATTGTAGATCAAGCCTGCCTTACTCGGTAATTTAGAAGACGACTGATCATTGATGCCCTTTAAAGCAGCTTTGACTTCAATAACAGTTCTCTCGACATCCCAAAATTCTGAAACTGGAACCAACTCATTTACTAAAATATTTCTGGTATGTCTGGAAATAATTCTCTCAGTGTCAGAACTTAATGACTTTGCAGGTTTTATAATCTCCACGGGCTTTAACTCGGATAACAAGCTACACAAGGAACTGCATTCTGCATCATCACCAAACTGGAATGTGGGGAATGAAAAATGGTCAAACAAAAGATTTTGGCCAACAAAAAATAGCTTAAGATGAAAAAAAAAAAATCCAATGTACCTGTCCAAGAATGAATCTGCTGGTTGCAACATCAACTACACAAACACCAAACACCCGTTCAAAATTTTGATTTGAATAACAAATTTCAGTCAATGCCATCATATAAGAAGCATCAGGATTTCCTGAAAGCAATTCTCCCTCTGTCAGTGTTCCCCTTGTGACGACCGCACAAACCTCACGTTTAACAACCTTAAAACCACATGAACAGAGTTAAAGCCTGGCCAACAAACTCACACGAGAATTTCAAAGAAATCCATAAACATTCTAAGAGAAATTAGTATTAAAACTGACGATCTTAAAAGAAATTATTAAGCTCAACAAGATTAAGTAACCAATAACCCATCTGCAAGTAACCAAACTTCATTAAGAGTTTCCCATATGGCGACTTTAGTTACCACAAGAAAGACAAGATGCCAAGAATTTGGCACATAGGGAAAACGGAAAACAAACCTTGTCCTTGGAACCTTTCTCCTTCCGACGAAGCTCCAGTTGTTCAGGTGTTTCAGTCTGTTCCACCACAAGAACTCGATAACCCTGCTTAGCCATAGCAGTATAGTAGAATGTCATTATGAGAGCATTAACCTGCTGATCAATTAAATGGTGTTATATAAAGCAACAAAAACTGAATCAGGCATTACTTATGAACCAACCTTTCTAGCCAATTTCTCTACATTCATCGAAAAATTCTTCTCCGGAAACCCACAATGTGGTTGTTCTCCCTAAAGATGCATTAGAAATTAATATTAGCTAGTAAGGAATAATAGAAACCAACACCAAGATTTCCAAAAGCAGGGTAGAAAGGACAGAGTATGTACTAATAAAGAAAATATTACAAAATTCCATAACATCAGGAATTTCAGTTTTACTTCATACATAAAGGAGAACAATAGATACAAAATTTTCTTTTTCCTTTTGTTTGGGGCAGAGATACAAAGATTCGGTCCATGATTGCTATGTCATAAACCAGTAAGTACCTTCATATACTGTAAATCTAGTTCTTTGGCTCCTATATGGGCATCCATCTCAAAAAGCTCGTAAAACTTCCCCATCTGCACCAAGCCAAGAGAAATATAACATCTCAAAGCATTTATGCATCTGATATGTTGCAGCTTCATGTTTTACTGGGTTAAAAACCACACCTTGAAGAATAAAACCTTGTCCATGTGCTTAGACTTAAACTCCCACCATTGCCTCTGTGTAAAAGGTGTTGAAAGTTAAGCTGAGCAGAAATACATCTCTATAGCACTTGTCACAACATTTCAGCAAATACCTGGCCACCAGATAAACTTCGTACAAAATCAGGAGGCAAGTAAAGAGTCCTAGCATCATAATCCACATCTGTAGGAAGTCTTCTTTTCGCATCCCGGCGTCCACTGTTTGAGTACCCAAAAAAAGTAAAGAACGAGAGAACACAGGAAATATAGCACATGCATGTGCATGCTGCCATTGCAGTTAGACCCAGTTTGCATAAGATAAGCAACTTCCAAGAAAGGTAATAGTTGTTATGGAAAATACAGGCCAAAAAAATTAAATTTAATAACTAAACAAGCAGAAAGAAAAGAAAAGGAGAAGTAGAAAGCACTCACACTTCAAGAAATCGCAGCTTCTCGGCTTCACGTATCCGAAACCTTTCCAAGGGGTCATTAGATGAATTAGGAGCCTTAGATATCTCGTCTACAGCACAAATGGAAACATCCAACAGCAGTAATGTTAATGTATATCATTCTGAATACTCTAGGGCAGCATCTAACAAACGATATACCTTAGAAGCCGTTAATTGAGAGCAAACATTTAATGCAACAAGGTCCCCAGACCGGACATTCTAGTGGAACTTGCTCTCAGAGACTGAACATAAGAATCGTTTTTATCATTAACAAGCAGAGAATAAAAGAAACATATCATGCAGTTTTACTTGGTAGATCGTGTTGGACCAGTGGCTGGGTCAAGAGGTATAGAAGGAAACAAAAATAAATAGTCCATAACTTACTATCCCTGTTCTTCGATGGTTCAACAACTGACAACTTCAGTGGTCCTGTATTGGCATCTCCACTATTTTTACTCTTCTTTCCAGAAGCCACCTTCTCTTCGGAGCTACCCTTTCTTTTTCTTGATTCGCTCCTCCTGCTCTTCACTACCCCCTTCCCATCTCCATCATCATCTTCGTCTTCCAGATCCATATGGTGTTCACAATCACTCTCCTCTTTCTCCATATTCTTTCCCCAATCTTCATCCCTCGACGTCTTTCCATGGCTGCCGCCATCACCGCTATTAACGTCCCCCAAATCGTCTTCATCCTCTTCAACCACCACCTGCTTAATACCCAGACCCTTCCGCAACCTCTTGAATTTCTTCGCACTCTCCTCAATCCACTCCACTTTCTCCTTCCCTAAATCCAACAGCTCCTCCTCCGCATCATCATACTGAATCAAATGCTTACCCGAACCCTTGTCGTACATTTTAACGCAACCTTCGTACCATGCTTTGTCCAAGGGCCAATAGACCCTGACCCTTTTTGCCACTACGTCATTTCCGTACGACTTCTCAGCCGTCACGGATGTTGGCAGACAATGTGACGGAGACACGTTTTGGCCGATGATGAACAGAGGGTTCTTGAGCTTGGATTGTACCGGAGAAGGAGTCGTAGGGCTCCCGTTGAGAAAGCTAGGGTTAGGGTTAGTGTTGGATTTGGGGATTACCTGCGCCTGTTTCGCTATAGAGGGAGAAGGCGTCGGAGTAGGAGAACCGGCCACTTTTGAGAAGAACGAAGTGATCTGCGATTTCTGGTTCACCAGTGGCGATCGGCCGCTGCTACGTTTGCGCGATGACGCCATTCCTGTCGCTGGTACGTTTGGCGAGACTAAGAGAGTACACAAACCGCAAATGAGGTGAATGACGGAGAAATGGTAAGACAGGTATGGCAGAGGCGGACGATATTTATGGCGGCGCCGGTTCGTAGAACAAGGAATTTGGTGGGAGAAAGCTTCTCGGCGGGTAAAATTTTACCACTGGCATCGTCTTGGCGGGAATCTGGTGGCATTATATACTGCAGCGGCTGCCTGCCATGCCATCCGGAACGCGACCTAGGGAAAAGGTAGGGCTGGTAAACGGTTATTCCGTTAACGATGTAATAATAACAAAATTAGAATCGGTGTTTAATGGTTACAACGATAACCGATTAAATAGTAAACGGTCAGTTCTAGCTAGCCAAGTAGCTAATAACTAACCGACGGTTAAACAGTTAATCGACTAACCGATTACGACCATCCTCATACTTAGAGCAAAAAATAATAGACCTAGTGATGACAAAAATATCATAAACCGTGGATATCCGCCCGAAACTCACCTAGTTGGGTAGGGTAAAACCCGAACTCAAACGATTTTCAGTGAGTACGGGTAAAATCAGAACCCAAATATTGCGAGTATTGGGTGGGCATGATTTTTTCACTATGCATATATGTGTTGGGTAGAAATTATCATTATTTTTCCCAACATATTTTATATTTAGCATACAAATATAATAATCTCATGAAATTGTGTTGTTTGAAATTAATTTTCTTCATTATAGTAAATCATTGTTGTACTTTTCCACTTATATAGGTGAGTATATGGATAAATGTTAACATGTTGGTTGGAATTATAGAGTGAAATTAAACCCGAACGGATATGAGCATGGTTTTGATTTTGTACCCGATTCTTAAGTGGGTATGGGTATGGTGTATGGATATGGATAAAACCCGAACTACTTTGGATAGGGTAACGTATATGCGTTATCCGCTCCCGACCCGACCCGTTGTCATCCCTAATTAAGCAAAAAATAATGGGTGTTTGGAGTCTCAACAATGTTGCAAGGGGAGAGAGTTATTGCGAACACAATTGGCTAAAACAACGTTGTTTAGCTAAAGACAACGTCGCGATGAGGAGAGATCTGTCGTGTGTTTAGCAACGCCGCAGAGTCCCAACATCATTGTGACACATATTCTACCTCAACGAGGAAAGGAGATCAAGAATTAATGTCGTTTAGTTAAAAACGATATCGCGTGAGGTATCAGCAATGTCGTGGTATTGGTGAGCAACGCCGTTTGATTAAAAACTATCACATTGGAGTAAGAGCTTGTCCCAAGGGTGTCCCGCCAAGTCAAACAACGTTGTTTAGTACAAAACAACATCACAAGTTTGGAGTTGGCCATGATACCAAGAGGCGCCAGTATTTAATTAAAACAACCACTGTAGACTAAAAGGGAAATGGTGTTGTTTGGTGAAGAAAAGAACGCCGAATAGGCCCAATGACATGGCGGCATTAGAAAACGACATTGTTTAGAAGGGAGCAATGTCGTTCAGCAGGGGCCATCATTTAAACTAGTCCCGGCCATCAATGTTGCGAAGTTGAGATTTTGTACCGATGTTGCTTAACCAAAATGACATTGATCTCGTTTTCCACCTCAAAGATCTCATTACTGGCATCGTCTTGAGAAACCCAAAATCCGCTTGCTATGCGATGGCGATGAGTTGCCCCATGGCTGCAAGTCAGGAGAGTCCATGGCTGCAAAATCAAAGTTGTTCAGTAGAAAACAATGTTGTTGAGGTGGTACAGAGGGGGATCCACACCCAACCTTCATCAGTGCTAACTTGCATTAGTGTATGATGATGGAATGCATTCCTTCATCACTGCATCAGTTTTTATGCTCTGGAATGAAGACGGTGTCGTTGAGATGGTACAAGCTAACACGAAACCGTTTTCCGTGGGGGGCCAACGTGGATGAAGCTTATTTGTACCATGGGGAATTGGACCACTTGAGATTAGGAGCGGGGAAGGAGGAACGCCCAACATCGTAGTCTCAAGCGCAAAGGTGTTGAGTAAGGCATGATTGAACCCATTGTTGGAGATCGAGAGACCATCGATGTTCGCATTAGATGGCCCACTGTAGTCTGATGAACAAGTCGATGATGAGTGAACCACCTCGAGAAAGGGTGGTTGAGGACGAAATCATGGCCTTGCGGGAGAAGTTGGTCATCTATCATTGAGAATAGAGGCTTGTATGCATGGAGCATGTCTTGATGGCCGACTGCATCCCCGACGATGATGACTTGCCGAACAACGACGAGGATGTGAGCCACGAAGTGAAGAAGAAAAGAAACCTTGCTGCATGTGATGTTTTGTAAGAAATCAACCTTGGCACAGAGGAGGATCCATGCCCAACCTTCATTAGTGCTAACTTGCCGGAGTCTTACATGTAAGAATTAATTGAATTTCTTAAAGAGTTTATAGACTGCTTTGCATGAGATTATCATGAAATGTATGGTCTTGATAGGAAGTTAGTTGAACATAGACTTCCAATCAAAGAAGGTTATAAGCCACATAGAAAACCACCTAGACATTTTTCACATGATATCTTGCCTGAAGTGAGAAAAGGAAATTGAACGTTTAATGAAAGCTAAATTTATCAGGACTGCTAGATATGTAGTTTGGTTGTCGAATATTGTTCATGTTAGAAAGAAAAATGGCAAAATACGTATTTGTCTGGATTTTAGAAACTTGAACAATGCTACGCCAAAAATCAATATCCCATAACGGTTGCTGACATGCTACTGGATGCCGGTTAAATGCATAGGGTGACACTTAAGTATTGTTTTTGTTGTACGTTGACCACCTAAGTTCTTTCGTTTGCAACTAAATCACATTAATGAATTTTCAGTTCCACCGTTACAGTTTTCGTCAACAAACTTAACGTTAGGTATCAAAGGATAATTTTTCTTTTCCACGCAGACATTCCAGCTCAGCAAACTACAACAATTTTCAATGGTCATTAGTCAGTAACTCACTCGCTCTACTGTCGGCCTCGTCGCTCCATTTTTTGCCTCGTCGCCAACCAAATCCCATGGTTGGAAGTCTTCCATCTTTTTAGGAAGTGCCACATTCCTCGTCGGAGCTACACTCTACGACGACGTCTCCAATATATGCATGCTCATCTTCCGTCTTATATTTCTCAGGATCATAGTTGGATTTGCCAGCCAATCAGTACCTCTGTATGCCTCTTTGAGTTGGATTTGCAAGCCAACCAGTACCTTTCTATTGTTGGAATCAGCTGATGATGGCGATTTCAAGACTTTTCTTCATAAAGTCACCAAAATAAACATCACCATCTTCAATGCTCTACTACTATCCCAAATAATCAGCATGGGGAGAGCGCTTCTCTCATGTGGGCAATTCTCAATGTAATTCCTGATAGAGCCAAGAGAGGCCCTTTGTTCTCGTCACAGTATTTATGTTTATCGCTTACGTGCTAGTCGGAGAAATTATGGCGAGAGATCTAGGGTGCTAAGGTAGAATTGGGAAGGATATGCATAGTCCTTATAAGTTTTAACGCGAATTAGGCCAGAATGATTGATTCTTGTTGTAGTTTGGGGATATTTGGGGCCTCTATGAAATTGTAGTACTTGCTGAGTTTGATGAGCTAGAACGCCAGCTTGGAAAAGAAAATTATCATTTCATACCTGCTATTAATTTTGTGAACGGAAAATGTAACAATGCAACAGAAAATTGATGTATATGATTTAGTTGCACCTAAAAGAACTTAGATGGTCAACATGCAACAAAACAATACTTTAAGTGGTACGCAATGCATTTAACCCTGCTCGATGTTGTAACCAGGCATGCTAGATTTTCTTTCATGGATTGTTACTCGGGTTATAACTAGATATACATAGCCGAGAAGGATTGATAACACCTAAACCTTCATATTAAGGTTTTTTTCATGCCAATTCATGTGCATAATTGCTTGAACATCGCCAATTACATCCTTATTTCATTCCTATTTGAATTCGATGTGATTTTAGGGTGCTTTAGATGATACATGCAAATTAGGTACAAAACAAGGTCACAAGTGTAGCAAGGGGGCAGAAGACTGAAGATCGTGGCCTATAAGTGAAGATCACGATCGATATATTGGACTACAAAGTCAAGCTGAAGATCGCGGCGGCTGCCTTATTTGTATAGTGACACTACGATTAGGGAATGAAAAGATCACGTTCTTAAATCAAGCTGGGGTACATACCAATGAAGAGTGTGCTTATTTGTATAGTGTGCCTTCTACCCTGTTCCATGAGTGAGATGATCCTCTTAAAAAATTCTTGTACTAGGTACGAAGATCGCATTGGAGATGAACTTAAATGAGCAACTAAGTGAATTGGATAATGGAATCGGCAAAGAAGTGGATGAAAAGGTGGAGCCTCTACCAGAAATAAAGCGAATTGCACCGTCAATAAAAAAACTACTGAGTCTAGAGTTGAAGCACTTACCTAAGCACCTTGAATACGCTTTCTTGAGGGAGGACTCAAAGATTCCGGTGATTATCAATGCATCTCATGGTAGAGCAGAAGTCAGCCCTCATTCAGTTTCTAAGGAAACATGAGAAGACTATAGCTTCGAAGGGACCATTCCATCTTTCTGCACCCATAAAATCAACATTGAGGACACGAGCAAGAGGGTGATTCAACCTCAACGTCGTCTCCATCCAAACATGGAGGAAGTGTTTAAAGTAGAAATAATCAAATTGCTCGATGCAGGGATCATCTATCCTATTCTTTATAGAACTTGGAGTGTCCATCTCAAGTGGTTCCCAAGAAAGGAGGGATGACGGTCGTCTCAAATGACAGTAATAAACTTATTCCTACATGGACGATCAAAGGATGGCGGGTTTGTATCGACTATCGTAGGCTTAATGTGGTTACTAGAAAATATCATTTCCCACTCCCATTCCTCGATCAAGTGTTGGAGTGACTCGCCGGGTCATGATTACTACTGCTTCTTGGATGGGATGTCTAGTTATTTCCAGATTCCATCTCCCCAAAAGATCAAGAGAAGACTACCTTCACTTGCCCCTTTGGAACATTCGCCTACAGGAGAATTCCCTTTGGTCTCTGAAACCTCCCTGCAACATTCCAATGATGCATGATTGCTATTTTTGACAAGTTAGCTGGGGACATAATGGAGGTTTTCATGGATGATTTTTCTG